CCCCCCCCCCCCCGATTGCATTGGCAAGAGCCTTGTGCACTATGCTGCCCTATATAAAAAACATATTCAAGCATGTAAAACCCTCAACCTCTTTTATTTCCCAGTTGCATTACTTTGAATAGCTAATGTGATGTAAAACATCTTTGATTCTACAAGCTGCCTTTGTACCGAAAGCCCAAACAAGTCCATGTTATGGTCTTAAATTCTTAATGCCTACACATCAAAATGATTATATAATTTTAATTGCCTTTTAAAAGGATATTTTATTAGGATGAATGAATTAACAACATTAGAAAATAAGGTGTTCTACTCCACTACAATGAGTGGCGCAGTCTCCAGGCAAACAGAAAGAGCAAAAAAAAAAAAAAATGGCACACACCTGGGCAGAAGCGCAAGGCACACCAGGCACACACCTTTTGAAAGTGATGTGCACCTGGAGCATAGGCGATGCACATACCTTAAAATGCACCTCACCTGTGCAACTAGGCACACCTTTTAAATCACTGGTGCCATTCCCCACAAAAATGAGAACATTGTCGTTCTTGTTCAAGTAATTCAAAAAGAAGCAGAAGGCCAAAAGTCAAGAGATCAGTAGGAGAATGAACATGAAGTGTTAACTACTTAGTACAAGCTCCATCTAATTCCATTAACCCAAAAAAGAAAAAATTTGAAAAAGAAATAGAAACCAGCGTGTCATCTGTGTGTGTGAGAGTGTGTGTAGAATACAAGTTGAGTCACCCAAACAAGCTGTTTCAGTTTCCAAATGGACCGATTTAAGACACTAAATTAAATGAATCACCAAGTCCTATAAACTCTATAAAAATGTGGTTAGAGTGAAGCACAAGCAACTGCCGTACGCAACTGATAGTGATTATGGTAATAGATCAATTCACAAACGCACTATTTGTAAATGGAAACGGCTACATCAAAAAACTGCTTCTTGCCCACTCAACTTGACAAGGCAGACCAATACAAAACTAATCGAGCCTCGCACTTTACTCATGGGCCAGCTGTGTTAAATACTGATAACACAATTCAGCTAAAGAGAATTTCGTTGAATTGAAAAAAAAAAAAAAAGAAAGAAAGAAAGAAAACAAACTGCATGCAACACTAAATCAGATAACGCGATTAGCCTCAAACATTATAGTACTAGATGCAAAAGAAAACCCTAGAAAGTTGAAAAAATGGAAAGATGGAAAGAATCAAAATTTCTATCTCTCACGACGGAAAAAAAGAGAAGAAAAGAAAAGAAAGTAACTCGCGTTGAGGAAAAAACATTCATCTCATACCTTCGGAATGGGGAGATGGTGTTGCGGGGGAGAAACGTGAATGCCTTGAGCATTGGTTCGGCTGCTCCCGAGTTTTTGAAGCTGAGGACCCAACTCGGCAGTCGCTAAGTGCTTCGCTATTTCCGTTTTCTGTTTTAACTATTAGAAAGTGTTACCGTTTATTTTGACTTTTGAGTCACTCTCACCTCACTCACTCAAAGGAGTCTGGAGCGGGAAGCCGAACTGATTAGGGCTGCAAGTCAGGCGGGATGGGCCGGAATAAAGCTCAACTCACGTCTAAACCTAATGATTGGGATTTGGGCAGAAGGTTTCCAGCCCGAATTCTGAATAAAACTCAGGTAGCCTCCACTAAAGTTTAACTTAAATGGTTGTTATATGTTTGTATATATAAATATATATGTGGACAGGACTCGGGTTAGAAAAAGATAGAGTCGAGATTGGGTCAGGTTTAAACTACATAAGGGCTAGACCTAGATTTGGCCCGAAAATAAAAAAGCCTGAATTTTTGAATTAAGGCCTAGTCCAAGATTAAAAATCTAAATCTAGCCCATGTAAAAGTCTAAATCAATCCAGACTTAGGTTAGGCCCACTGAATTGCACCCCTAGAACTGATCTGGGCGCCAATGAAGGAGTGTTGGAGCGCCAAATTTTGAAGGGACCTTACCTGGGATATGACTAGCATCCCATAGGCCCCTACTTATATTCACTAAAAAGTAAAACATCTAAAATACAAACAAATAATTCATATATGTATGTATATATTCATGGGGAAATATTCTCAAGAAACAGCTGCAAGGAGCTGTGAGGACTGAATCCAAATTCCAAAGTATTGTGCTTGGGTATTAAAATTTGATGCATCAAGAGTTAGATTCAATCTATATACATATATATAGTTAAAATTACCAAATTGTTATTATAACTTAATATATCGGTGATCCCAAAAGCCAATGTGTATAGTATGATGTGATATAATATGTATTGAAGATTAGCTGACTTTACATTCCCTGGTTAGTGAGCACTGATTTTTACATAGAGATTTAAGGGTTTATTTCAAGCTATTTTTTCTGTATTTTTTGAATTTTTGTGTTTTTTCTGTATTTTTTAGATTTTTTCTGTATTTTATTTTTATATTTTTTATGTGTTTTGTACTGTATTATTTTTTATTTAGATAATTTTATTTTCTTTATTTTCTATATTTTTGTATTTTATTTAATTTTATGCTATTTTTATTATTTATACATATATTTTCAATTTTTAATTTAATATAAATAAATATATAATATATATAATACAAATGTTATAAATACATATAATGTATTATATTATAAATGATAAATTATATATATATATATATATATATAGGTTGGTTCCGTTGGGATTTTCAGCTTTTGATGAACACCCTTACTTGTGAGAATAATATTAATATAAAGAAGAAAATGTGCTTCTAAACTTTATATTTTCATTGTACATATTTGTATTTGTATTCTTCCCAAACTAAGCCTAAGTTTAAGGAGGGATTATTGTTTGGTAGGATGATAGATTTTCAAGTCAACATATTGCTCAAGTCCAAAAACTAAATATATGTTTGGCATCGGTGTTGCATATACAGCTGTATATGTGTGGGTTGGAGGCACCACTTTCTCACTTATTTGTTTCCTAGGGCAACAGCAACACCATCTATTTGGTACCAATGCTCCATATCTGTTTTCAGCACTGGTACTCATTATAGGAAGTCCACATCATTGCTACATCATGTCCTTGTTGGCAGCAATGAACTCCAAATTGAGAAAATGTTGAATTTGGTGTTTCCCCAAACTATGCCTTCTCGATTTTCAATGTGTGGTTTGGAGCACTATTTTTTATGGAAAAACGGTTCCAAACATGTTACCTTTTTCTGGAACACTGACTTTTTCAACATGGCACTGATGTGTCACTGTTTTTTAGAGCAATGACATCAATGCCAAACACTGCCTAAAAGTATAAACATAATGACTTCAAATCAAATCAAGAGATATTCAAATTCAAATTTGATTAAATAAATGGATTTCAATTTGATTGATTAGTTATTTTAAATAAATAATATAAATATATAATATTTAAATATTTTATTTATATGATATATAAATGTATAAATTGTTAATATAATTTATATATTAATTACTTAAAATAATATATCTATCTATATATATATAAAGCAAAGCAATCGATGTCAGCGTGTCTCTCCTTTCTCCAAAGTCCAAACCCCCTTTCTTTCTTCCTCCTTAACTTTGTCTCCTTTCTCCTCTCTAACCCTCCCATTAAACCAAGTCAGCACTCTTCTCTCTTCCCAAAACCTTTCCCCTTTCTAAGAAAATGCCTACTAATTTCTCTCCCTTCCATTTTCATTCTACATTAAGTCATTAATATCCTAAACTGTTATTGGCTCACTAATTTCTCTCTATTATGTTTTCATATAACACTAATTTCCTTAATTGTTATTGGCTCACTAATTTTTCTCCATTGTATTTCCTAATTAGGTTTTATTTGTGATGAGGGGTAATTTGACACGACCTAGTAGATAAAAGTCACGTGGATGCGATCTGCTTGTAGGATGACAAATCAGCAAGAGGAGACTAGTCAGCGGTATGCGGAGCTCGGCATAAAGTCACCTCGGCATAAAGTCACTTCGACATAAAGTCACTTCGGCATAAGGTCACCTCAGCGGCTAATCGAATTCGTGACCCGAGAACCGAAGTAACACGTAATAAATCCCAATAGCTTCCCAACAGACTTTGAATATTACGGGATCATACCGTATAACGGCAAGCCTTTTCTTCTCCCCGTCCAAATCGGGCGGCGATAATGAGGTTCATTGACTGATACGTTACTCCCTAATTAAAGCGGAAAAGAATCTCATCCATTCAGGCCGTAGATTTCAGAACTGTTTTGGGAAAGCCACAATAACTCAGCTATATAAAGGCATCAACCCCTCCATGACCCAGGTATGCGCGATTACTTGCATCCAAGCTCTCTAGCACTCAGATTCTAACTCGCAATCACGACACAGTACTGACTAAAGCATCAAAGCGACCTCGCCGGATTAACTGCCCCGGGTGCTATAATCCTATGTCTTGTAGTTTGTCCAACTCGCTACACGACTAAGGTCTAGGTCATCCTCTAGTTAGGAGCTTCCAGATCATGCATAATCAATTGGCGCCATCTGTGGGAATACGATCGAAAGGTCATCCCAATTCCTTTACAGTTTCAAACTCAGTCTCAACTTCAATGGCATCTTACAGCCACAACGGTAAGGGTAACACGAACTTCGTTGGGCAGCAAGAGCAACATATAGTCGCTCCCCAAAGACTCTTGGTGACAATCGGCTAGTTCACCATTCCTTTGACCATATCTGCAGTCCCATCACTGTCTGCACCCCACACTACCCACCAGGTGAGTGTCCCACTCCCCCAAGTGAGCGCCATGTTCTCAGAGCCTTCAGTGATTCCCCCTGGGATTGGACACTTCCAGTTCAACGACCTCGTCCAGAGTGTCCGACCAATGCAGATTCAGATGCAGCAGTTTCATCAGTTCTAGCTGTATTATATTAATCAACAGTATCAACAACAGTTCCCACCACTGCAACCAAACCAGACGGCGAACAACCAGCGCCAGTCCCCACCCTGCAGGGAAAGAACTTCGCAGGTACTGGCCCCCCATTCCAGGCGAACCCCGCCCCGGGGTGTTGTAGGTGACCGACATACTCCCCTTGCTTCTCGAAGAGAAAGCCCGAGGAATAGACCCAAACCCAGTCAGTCTAAGAGGCGCAACCGACAAATTTCCCATGTGGAGCACTGATTCAAGGTCTGAGGTGCGGGCTCCAAGAGAGACCCCTCGTTCCTCGCAATAGCCAGCATCGAATGCATGACGAAGAGGAGGCGGCAAGAAGAATCTCTGAACTATCTCGCCCTATTATTCGAAGTAAGATCGAAGTGCTTAACAACACAGAGGCTGACAATACAAATGTCGTTCCACCAGAAAAGCAGTAGCGACGATGTCGCAAGACTCGCCGTTCATCAACAAGAAATGATCCAACAGCAAGGCCCAACCATCTAGTTGACCAAGGTCGAGAAAGAGAGGAGGTGAGCTCAGTGGCCAAAGGAACAACGCCTACTCTTTTGAGCCAGCCTTCTCCCTTAACACCTGAGCTCCTAGTAGCCCCAATGCCAAAAGATTTCAAGGTCCTACCACTAGACAAGTACGATGGGTCCTTTGATCCCAATGATCATGTGGACACATTCCAGTCCCAAATGCACCTCTCCATAAAGCTTGTATGTGCGTAGCTTTCTCCACCACGTTCAAAGGAGTAGCTCGGACTTGGTACACAAACCTAGCACCGGGTTCCATCGGAAGTTGGGTGTAGTTCGCAGACATGTTCATGGCCCACTTCATCACTATTAAGAAGTGCCTGAAGTCATAGGAGAGCCTTTTAAACGTGGTGCAGAGGGAGGGAGAGTCAATCCGCAACTATATCAAGCGCTTCAACAAGACATTCCTGTAAATACCGAACCTTGACCCAACAATACGTCTCACCGCGGCACGCAAAGGCATCAACCATAAAGAGTTCAAGTGGCACGTTGTAGCCAACAAACCAAAAAACATCACCGAGTTCCTCCAGTTAGCATATCAGTTTTATCAACACTAAAGAGGAAATAAAATAGAAAACTGACAACCAGCGAGGAGAAAAAAGGAAGAGGGAGGAAGAGGGGATGAGCAACAAGAAAAGAAAGAAAAGTAAGTCCCCCAAGCGGAGAAGCAAATCCCCCTCCCCCACGAAGCTACAGGTCAGGTCGGCATTCCAGGACCCCTCCAGTGGAGAGGACAAACTATACCCCCTTCAATGCGAAGTGAGGAGAGATCTTAATGGCAATAAAGGATTCCCCTATCATCAGATGGCCACCCAAACTCCACGGAGACCCAACGACCAGGAACTCAAATGTCTATAGTCACTTTCATCGAGACTGTGGTCACAACACAGAAAACTGTAGAAACCTCCGCAACGAGATTGAAGAATTAATCCATCGTGGGTACTTGAAAAAGTACATTCTACATGAAGAAAATGAATAGGGAAACCAATAGGGAGATCGGAAAAAAGACGGCCCAGAGAGTAGTAGACAAAACGAACAACCACCTCGCCCACTACCAAAAGAGAGACCAATCTGCAGAGTGATTAATATGATCACCGGGGGATCTATTGTAGTGGGGTGCACAATAGCGGCTGGGAGAACATCATTCTGAGAACTATAGCACGAAGCAGAGAACCCACCCAAATGACCTCGGATCGAAGAACCGATCTACTTTA